GCTGAGGGACAGCGCCCAGGCCCAGAGTTCACCCCACTACCAACAAAAAAAAAAAGAAAAGAATAGTTCCATGGATTTTCCTGCCTGCCTGGCTTCGAACCTCAATCCTCAGATCTTAGCCTCTCAAGTAGCGAGGATTATAAGCATGAGGCACCTGTGCCCATCTCCAAAGGAATGTTTTTTTTTTTTGACAATGTTTTTTGGGGTCAGTCATGGGGCCTGAACTCTGGGCTGGGCGCTGTCCCTCAGCTCTTCAGCTCAAGGCTAGCACTCTCCCACTTGAGCCACAGCACCACTTCCAGCTTTTTGCTTATATGGTGCTGAGGAATCGAACCCAGGGCCTCAGGCATGCAAGGCAAGCGCTCTACCACTGAGCCACCTTCCCAGCCCTCCAAAGGAATATTTCTATCTATGGTCACATATTACTATGACTACTAGTAATAAATGAATAAATAAATAAATAAGCATTACTCTCTGCTCACGTAGTTTATTAAATGTAATCCTGAACACCTCAACCCATTTTTAAGACCCAACCAACTCAGACTTAAAGGATTTGAGTTACATTTCCAGTAATAAGGAACAGAGCAGAGATTAGAATCCAAGTCTATTGGGATCCAAAGTTTAACAGATCTGCTGGTTTTTTTTTTTCTCTCCTGCAGGGTATTTCATTGTGAGCACAGTAAGCTGCCAGGATAGGTTAGCTGCAGCATGAGCTCCCAGAGAGCAGGGTGAATTCATCCATGGAAAACCAGTGCTCTGAGTTCTCCATCTGCTTGTCAGAGTGCATTTGCCAAGGCTCAAGAACAACAGTGCTACTTTGGGCGTAATTAATGTTTAGACAATAACTGGTCAGCATATTTAGTTGCTTCTTGAGGTCACTCCTGGGCTTTGAAAATAGAGTCCTGTGTTGGTGTAAACAGGATGTTTCTTTTCTTTGTGTGTTATCAAGCCATTATCTCAGTCTTGTAGAAGAAGCTCTACCAAATTGCTTAGGTGCAGATTCAAAATGGGGGAGGATATGGCTTGACTCTGTTTTGTGCCCTTTGAAGAATCTAAAATCCATTTCTGTTCAATATGATTCTTGACATTGTATTTTCATATTTAAAAGTCCTCAAAAAACATCTAAACAGTCCTAGATATGTTTTTAAATTGTATAGTGAGGCCCATAACTAATTCCTATTTATGCAATCCATGAATATATATAGTCACTATGGCTTTACTATCTGTCCCACCCCCCACCTGTGGGCATGATGGGTAATTCAAAGACAGACAAGTGTGTTTATCAAGTTAGTCATAATATGCTTTGGGAGTTTTGTCATTAACAAATGTTGTAGGCATCAGAATCTTCCATGAAGTATGCCCAAAACAGAGCTGCCTGGGTTCTATTGAAGCAAAAGCTCAAGAGCAGAACCCAGACACCTTTGTGTTTAACAAGCTCCCTAGAAATTCTGATACTCTTGGTGGCTCACACCCATAATCTTAGCTACTCAAGAGACTGAGACCTAAGGATCTTGGTTCAAAGCCAGACCAGGCAGGAAAGACTATGAAACTCTGGTCTCCAATAAACTACTCAGAAAAGGCAGGAAGTGGTGCTGTGGTTCAAGTGCTAGAGCGATAGCCAGGAACAGAGACCAGACCAGTAAACATGTGTTTTAACAAGTAGGAATACACTCCAAACTAACAATAAAAAGTATAGGGCTGGGCATGGTGACATACACCGGTAATCCTAGCTACTCAGGAGACTGAGAACTGGAGGATCATGGTTCAAAGCTAGTTTGGGCAGAAAAGTCCTCCAGGAAAAGACTAGATTGAAGGTATGGCTCAAATGTCAGAGCATCAGCTATAAGCAAAAATGTTGAGCACTCTTGTTCAGGGTCCTGAATTCAAGCCCTGGTACTGGCGCGCGCGCGCGCGCGCACACACACACACACACACATTTAAAGTGCATCTAGTAGCCAATTCTTCCCACAATTTCCACTGCCCCATCCTGCCCAGTCACTGTGTCTTCTTTACATTACTGCAGTAGTCTCCTAAGTGGCTCTAACCTTGCTCACTCCCAACAGCCTGTTCACATCAGCCTGGAAACCTGGCTGACTGTATCCTTCCCAGATCCAGAGTCCTCTCCATCTCCTTCAGAGTAAAAGCCAAAGTCCTCCAATGGTCACAAACCCCTAGAAGACCTCACTCCTTGTCTCGCCTAAGAATGTTGATTATTCAAATAACACCATTATGTACTTTTTATCTGCCGTCACATTTTGACATCATGCATGCTCAGAGACTAATGAATCTGTAATGAATCTGTGTGTGTGTGTGTGTGCGCGCGCCAGTACCAGGGCTTGAATTCAGGACCCTGAACAAGAGTGCTCAACATTTTTGCTTATAGCTGATGCTCTGACATTTGAGCCATACCTTCAATCTAGTCTTTTCCTGGGGGACTTTTCTGCCCAGGTTAGCTTTGAACCATGATCCTCCAGTTCTCAGTCTCCTGAGTAGCTAGGATTACCGGTGTATGTCACCATGCCCAGCCCTATACTTTTTATTGTTAGCTTGGAGTGTATTCCTACTTGTTAAAACACACGTATTTACTGTAAACAGTATACCAGCAGCATCCCAGGTTCATCTCGTGTTTATCAGGCATCTTAATTGCATCTTAATTGCATAGAGGCCACATCATATGATTGATTGACACCATCTAGGTTTGTGTAAGGACACTGAAGATGTCTGCACAATGATAAAGTCAATTAACAATGCATTTCTTAGACCTGTTTCCTGTCATTAAGTGACACCTATCATTGACAGTAATTGTGTATATTTATGGGGTACAGTGTAGTATTTCCATCTACATATGCATTACAGGAAAATTCAGTCAAGATGATTAACATCCATCAGCTTACCAATTTTATCACTTTTTGTGATGAGAATGTTCAAAATCTATTTCAGTAAAAAAAATTTCCAGTTCTAGGACTTCAACTCAAGGCTGTGCTACCCCTGAACTTTGTTGCTCAAGGCTAGTACTCTCCCACTTGTGCCACAGCTCCATTTCCAGCCCTTTTTGGTGGGTAATTGGAGATAAGAGTCTCATGGACTTTCCTGTCCAGGCTGGCTTTGAACTGCAATCCTCAGCCTTCTGAGTAGCTATGATTAGAGGCATGAGCTACCCATGCCTGGCTATGTCAGCAATCTTAAAGAATTTACAATATTGCTCATTGGGGTTACCATACGGCATACTAGACTGCTAAACTTATGCCTTCTAGTCTAGCCGAAACTTTGTACTCTTTGATCACAAGCATGAAACCCAAGGGATCATTTACAGGAAGAATTGCTTTCTCGTTTGAAGGCCGAGCCAGCAACCTTGCTGATGATCTGGATGCGGAATGTCTAAGGACTATGAAAGGAAGATTTCCAGAAATACCCAGTGTAGCTGTAGACTCTGCTTACTCTGTGGCCAGATTTAGTCCTGGGTGAGGAACAAGATGTGGTTGTGGGAAAATGCTATTTCAGTTTCTAACTACACTTGGTTACTCTTAAAAATGAGAAATTCTACTATGTATTTTTTTTAATATTTTAAAGAGCCAAAGAAAAAAGCCGGGCACTGGTGGCTCACGCCTGTAATCCTAGCTACTCAGGAGGCTGAGATCTGAGGATCAGGGTTCAAAGCCAGCCCGGGCAGGAAAGACTGTGAGACTCCTATCTCCAATAAACCACCAGAAAAAAACCGGAAGTGGCGCTGTAGCTCAAGTGGTAGAGCGTTCCCCTTGAGCTGAAGAGCTGAGGGACAGCGCCCAGGCCCAGAGTTCAAGCCCCACGACCGACCAAAAAAAAAAAAAAAAAAGAGCCAAAGAATCTCCTGGCAAGGAGCAGTGGAGATAGTTCTGAGTGGCTACAGCAAGACCCTTACTGGGAAAAAAAGGACTGGATCCATAATGGCATTTCTTCCTGGCATACACATACCAGGAAGATAGAACACATGGCTAATAGGACCCTGAATAATATTTTTATTCCATTTTATTTATTTATTTCTCACATGAAATTTGGCTTCCTTTTTTTTTAAGTTTTTATTGTTCTTATAAAGGTGATATACAGAATATTCGGTTTCTTTTTAAGCACTTTTTTTTTTTTTTTGTCGGTCGTGGGGCTTGAACTCTGGGCCTGGGCGCTGTCCCTCAGCTCTTCAGCTCAAGGCTAGCGCTCTAGCACTTGAGCCACAACACCACTTCTGGTTTTTTTTCTTTTTGCTTATGTGGTGCTGAGGAATCGAACCCAGGGCCTCAGGCATGCAAGGCAAGCGCTCTACCACTGAGCCACCTTCCCAGCCCCAAGCACTTTTATAAAAATACTCAAAGACATCCTTTCTGGGGCAATGAATGAAGGATATTTCTATCTTCATTTGAGGGTTCAGGAACTCAAGATCTAGAAAGGTAGATTCCAGAAAAGGAAACTGCCAGATCAGAACTTCTACTTGGTAATAATTCTCCTCCTTGTTGTATGGCCTCATGTGTAGTGATTGGACCTCATTCTGGGAAATGGAATGGGAAGAGAGAGAAAGAGAGAGAGAGAGAGAGAGAGAGAGAGAGAGAAAGTGTGTGTGTGTGTGTGTGTCTCACACCTGGGTTACTAAGCACAATCTAATGAAAGAATTGGCTCCTTTTCTCTTTCCTTTGTTCAATTGGTCATTTCCTTTTTGAACTCTAATTTTCACTGAAGTCTGGGATAAGAAGATGAAGTGATGTGAAAGTTACATTAGGGAGCATGGCAATCAGTTTAATAAAAGCCTCCGTGGAAAAATGCAGTTGTAATTAGCACTAAGATGAAATCCTGAAGTCCCAGTGGATTTACGTTTTGCTTCACTGCCTGATCCTTTGTTCTTGTAAGAAATGGGGAAAAGAAACTAAGTTTGATTATGCAGAGCACCTAGTAAGGCTAAGTTCCTTTTGTCTTGCTGAAGCCACGCCCACACCAGGTGGCTGGTTAACTGACTTTAACATATTTGCCTCTTTCAGTTTGCAGTGATGATCTTACCCACAAATTCAAAGGTTTTACTGTGATGAATGAAGCAGAAAGGTATGAAGCTCTCAGACACTGTCGCTATGTGGATGAAGTCATCAGAGATGCTCCCTGGACTCTCACACCAGAGTTTCTGGAAAAACACAAGGTACTTCTCTCACTCTCCCAAGATTAGAGAATCTGCTTCTATAGCAGAGACAGTAGAAAACCCAATGACTTTTTTGTTTTTGGTCCGTTGTGGGCTTGAACTCTGGGTCTGGGTGCTGTCCCTGAGCTCTTCAGCTCAAGATTAGTTAGTGCTCTACCACTTTGAGCCACAGCGCCATTTTCAGTTTTCTGGTGTTTCGTTGGAGATAAGAGTCTCAAGGACTTTCCTGCCTGGGCTGGGTTTGAACCACGTTCCTCAGATCTCAGCCTCCTGAATAGCTAAGATTACAGGTGTGAGCCACCAGCACCCAGCCCAGGGACTCTTTTCTTGATGTAACATCTCTCTTCTGGCCAAGCCTGGGGACCTTTCTCTTCTGCCTTCTCTGAGTACAGATGCTAGAGCTGAGCCAGCCAGACCCTAACACTGCCTCTTCTCCCAACTATGGGGCCTCGAACAAGTTATTTAACCCCATTAGACTCACTTATCTCATCTCTAAAATGGTATATTCCACACGGGCCACACTGAGGATCCCATGGAATCATGCAAGTGAACACTTGGAAAACTGGCCGGTCCCACAGCAAGACTTTCAAGACAGTCAGTGTCATCACTATTGCCGCCATCATCTGTGGTGCTTACCCATCCACAGGCATTCTTTTGTATGGAACAAATGAGCCCATATCTTATCCAGAAAGTCAAGGGTCAGCCTTTAGGGGAATGACTTTATATCTATGAGTTTGTGACCATGAGATTCTTACTGGCATCAGATTTTTATTAGTTGAAAACACGAGAAATTCTTTTATCTGCATCAAATTGCGTGCTTTGTATCTCCCTACCAGCCCCACATTAGGAGCTATTCTTTCCTTTTATAAGCAGTACAAAAAAATAAGATTAAGCTGTTCTAAGAATTTTCTTTTCTATTTTTAAATTCGCAATGCCGAAGAGAATAGAGAACACTGATAAATGTGCATGGGTAATAGCAGAGGAGACAATTTTCCTGGTGAGAATAAAAAGAAAAAGGAAAAACTACAATATGATTACTTCCAGTAATCACTAACACTTTTTTTTTTTTACTAAGCATCTATTGTATATTCAACATGTGATAGGCATTTAGGGGGATACTAATAATGATAATGATGACTGCCATTTATTACTTACCATGTGCCCAGCACTGTGCCAAGGACTTTGCTATTCTATGAATCCAATTCAATCTCTCAGCTACTCTGCAAAGTTGTTGTCATTATACATTGGAGAGGAGGAACTAAGTTTGAGTACTGAGAATAGAATTAGTAATAATTGTAATGATAATAATAAACATTTATTGAGTACTTGGCATGTACCAGTTATTACTTTTAAGCACGGTTACATAATTATATCATTTAATCTAGTAATGCTCCAGTGAGTTTCCCTTCCAAGGGACATTTGGCAATATCTGGAGACAGTTTTGGTTATATAGCTAGAGGTTGCTACTGGCATCTAGTGGGAGGAAAGCATGGGATGCTGCTAAGCATCTTCCAATACACAAAACAGCAGCCCCCCCCCAATTTATCTAGCCTCCAACATCAATGGTAATGACGCTGAGAAATCATGATTAAAGGGTTTCTTCATTGAAAGATGAAGCTTTGCAAGCATGACAAAGACCAGTGTTTAAAGAGGATACTCCACATGACAGGTAGATGGCTTTCAGAGGAGAGAGCTTGCAGTGAGGGAGCCCAAATACAAGATGGTGCCAGTAATGAAGTGACGGGGCCTTGAATTCGGTAGAGTGCCAATGAAGAGAAAGCAGTGGGTACGAACATATGCACACGTATGCGTATACATGGGTAAAGTGCACACGTGCACACACACACACATACCCACCAGTGGAACCTGTGACCTGTGTGCCATGGAAAGTGAAGGAAGTAGGGAAGAATGGTCCATTCCAAGGTGGTAGTCTTCAAGATAGAATGAGAAAATCGACGTGCCATTGGAAGGCAGAAGGAGGAACCAGTTTTTCAGGAAAGGTGAGATTAAATGCAGGGCAGATTGATTTTGATGTATGTGTGTGGGGGGGGGGCGGAAAGGCAAAAGAGAATATGGCTGCAATATGAGGTAAGAAAGCCTGGCCTAGTTCATGACTACCCACCCTCATTTTCAACCGACTAATGAGTTGTATGACTATGGAGAAATCGAATGAGTTGTATAGTTTTTGCCCTTTATATTCTAACCTTATGTCCTTTGTAGCCTACTCACATGACAAGGTTATGAGGATCAAATAGGAAAAGAGGACACATTCATTTTCATAGTACAAAATATAACCTAAGTGGGAGGGTCTATTGCCATGGCACAGGGAATGGAGATGTGGATTCCTTATCATAGTAAGGCTGATTAAAACCTGAGAAACATGTGAGTTCTCGAAAGGAGAAAGTTTAGAGGCAAAGAGATGGAGCCAAGAAACCTACAGTCAAAGGCAGAGAGTGATGAAGGAGAAGAACCAAACATCAATTCTCTTCTTTTTGTGACGTCATGGAAAAATGGAGATCGTTGAAAACACCTGTCACTCGAAGATTCAGAGCCACACAATAAATGTAACCTATGCCTGCCTTATTTCAAACAGGTTTTTTTTTTTTGGGGGGGTGGGAATCACTAATCCCCTTCAAGTCTAAAGATGTGCACCTCCATTCTTATGAGGATGTCTCTCTCCTCTCTCTTCAACAGATTGACTTTGTGGCTCATGACGACATACCGTATTCTTCTGCTGGTTCTGATGATGTTTATAAGCATATAAAGGAAGCAGGTGAGGTATTTTCCTGAGGACTGCTGCATAGAGGTACAGGTTATTGGGATTTCGGGTGTCTGCCCAGGAGCTTCTACACACCTCTGTTGACATGTGCTACAGCTCCATCGTGAAACACATCACACGCTATTTAGGTATTTATATAGGAATTACTCTGAGCACTAAAGTACTCAACCTTAGGACTGAGGTACAAATGGAATGAACAAACCTGCCCCTTTTTCATTCTAGGCCCATTTCAGGGCTCACAGTAAAATACCCAGGCCAATTTCTGTTCAGCTTCTGGTTCTTAATAACTCAAGGGACAATTCTGGAATTAAGAAAGTCCTGTTTGTACTTGCTTTCTTTTTTTGATCAGTTGTGGGGCTTGAACTACGGCCTGGGCACTCAAGGCTAGCGCTCTACCACTTGAGCCATAGCATCACTTCCAGGGTTTTTGTTTTGGTTTGGTTTGGTTTTTTTGGTTGGTCATGGGCCTGGGCTCTGTCCTTTAGCTCTTCAGCTCAAGGCTAGGGCTCTACCACTTGAGCCACAGCACCACTTTTGTTTTTTTCTGCTTATGTGGTTCTGAGGAATCAAACCCAGGGCTTCATGCATGCGAGGCAAGCACTCTACCACTGAGCCACCTTCCCAGCCCCACTTCCAGTTTTTTTGAGTGGCTTATATTACAGGTAAGAGTCTCATGGGGACTTTTCTGCCTGGACTGGCTTCAAACTATGAACCTCAGATCTCAGCTTCTGAGTAGCTAGGACTACACGCGTGAGCCACCAGTGCCCAGCCTGTACTTGCTCTTAGTAATCCTTCTTTTTCCAATGTGCCTTCTAAAAGAGCTTGTTTTAGAAATCAAAGGCTGAACAATTTCCTGTGTCCTTGGCCACATCTACCTCTCTTTGAAATAACAGAGGTCTTGGCGTCATTGGGCACAGGATCTCAGAGCAGGTGTGATGCCTACAAATGAAAGACCTTGAGCAATTGTTCAGGAAATCATTCTGATACATAGAATGTACTTATTCTCTCTGATGGGTTTTGGTTGGGTCACACCTTTTTGGAACCAACTGGGAAAGTTTCACACCACCCTCAGAAATGGTAGTCAGGTCTATACTATATGAGTCTAGGCTCCTTCAGGAGTTAGGGAATTGGTGAAGAACCAGAAGCCTGACATTTGCCAGTGCTAGTCTTGCTTTAAAGAGTTCCAGGAGGGCTGGGAATGTGGCTTAGTGGTAGACTGTTTGCCTAGTATGCATGAAGCTTTGGGTTTGATTCCTTAAGTACCGCATAAACAGAAAAAGCCAGAAGTGGGGCTGTGGCTCAAGTGGTAGAACGCTAGCCTTGAGCACAGAGAGGCTCAGGGAAAGTACCCAGGTCCTGAGTTTAAGCCCCAGGATTGGCAAAAAAAAAAAAGTCCAGGAAAGGAAAGTTTATGCACCTTATTCAGACTTGGGAGGCTGCTGAGGAACTGGGAAGTGTGGTGCAGGAGAGAGAAGGAAGAAATGACTGGTAAATGAATTACATTGAGATGTTAAGATGGGTTATGGGGCAATTCATACTTTTTGAAGTGTTTGTTAGAACCAAGATGTGAGCTAGCTGCTCTTCCTTAAGATGACATAAGGACCTGGTTTTAGCCACTGCTTTTCAAACTCCAGAGGGTCTTCTAAAGATTAAGATTTGAATTCAGTATATCTGGTGAAGCCTGAGATTCCTATTCTTCTTTAATTTTTCTTCTTTTTTTCTGCTCCAATGTTGGGAATAGAACTCAGAGCTGTGTGCTTGCTAGGCAAGCACTCTACCATTGAGTTACAGTCTCAGCCCTGAGATTCTCATTTCTAATGAGTTCCCAGGTTGTTAGAGGCTGCAAATCCATAGGCCTTATTTAAACCAGCAGGAATCTAGACCGGGATTGGAGTCCCACTGAGTTATCCTAGGGTTAACTGAATCACTATTTCCTGGGGTGATAGTTCTTCAGCTACCTTGTAATATAGGAACAAGCACTTAGTGATGGTTTTCTTGCCAGGAAAGTGGTGTCTATTGAGGTAAGAATCAGTTGTTTTTACTGGTCTTAGGAAATAAAATGTCTAGTTCCAGTTGTCTAGACATAGGAACAAGAAGACCAAGATTTTCTAATTCTAGCAATCCGGCGTCCTTATTGTTTGCATAACAAAATGGCTCCTAAAGTGAGTGACTTGAGAAAGTTACTTTCTTTTGCTCAAGATTTGTGGGCCAACATCTTGTTCTCTTTTTTCTTTTTCTGTTTTTTAGGGGGGGGGTCTGGTCCTGGGGTTTGAACTTAGGGCTTGGGCTTGTCTTTGAGATTCTTTTTGCTCAAGGCTAAACATTCTACCATTTGAGTCAGAACTATACTTCCAGCTGTTTTTTTTTTTGGGGGGGGGG